ATATGTCTTTGATATAGTGAATGCAAAATAAAGACTCCAGGTAATTAGTCAAAGAAGACAGTGCTCTCGTCATGCAGAAAGAGCCAAGAGGGATATGAACTAATTTCGTCTTTCCTTAGACTCCAAAAGGATCTTTGTTCTCTGGATATTCCTGGTATGATTTGTGCATTAAACCAAGAAGCTAGGCTTCTTTTATGAGCGAAAACATATATGCAGCTTCACGGGTGTCTTTGCAAAGGCAGCTGACTCGGACGTATTTTTACATATGGAAGGCTAACATGTGTTCAATCATGTGTGAGGCTATTTTGTTCTTTCCACCTGTTTGAACTGCGTTGTTACTACGCCAATTGCCAAACAGAATAGTTAGTGAATAAACAAAGAGCTACGAGAAATTACAGATTATCTGACCCGAGGGAATGAAGGCTGACTTACAATAAACAAATAACAATGCTAAATCATATGTCCTAAACAATGTGTAATTCCTAGAAACTATATGGAATGTCACTCGTGCATAGAAACCTCGATGAAGTCAAAGTATTGTTCAGATGTCACACTGTTATCAATATGAGACGTTCTGGTCATCATGTTTTCTCAATGATCTAATGTGAAGTAACGCTTCAACTGATCTGTACCAGCATAGAGACTCGCGGATATGCACATGTGCAAATATAGGCAAGCTATTACACTCGATCGCTCTACCAATGATGTTAAAAGTCATATCAAAGCATTTAAGTCCTTTCGCTTTACTTTACATTATAAAAAGAAAAGGTTCGTGATTAAGTGAGATGGGTTTTACGCCGCTTTCAACAGTATTCCAATTATATCACGACGAGTCAACTTAATGTGTGAGGAAAGCCCGAAGTGATACAGATCGCAGTCGTTTACAAGTTTGGTCAAACCCATGAGCACAGGTATGGTGCTGTCATCCCTTGAAACATAGCTGGGTTGAACTGGGATTCGAACCAGCGATTATATTTTTTCTGATGGTCCAAAGGACGTACAACTACACATCAATTTGTGGCACCTTTGGCTACCAGGACACCCGTGCCCCCATTAAGAAAAGGGTTAATGAAATGCAATTTACATCTTTGCTCAGACAGAACATTAATACAGACTATCAAACCGCGTTTTCGCATATCACATCCTCAATTCACTTTGATGCAAACAAAGTCCCAGTTACCGAGTTGTACCCAAATCATAAACAATTCAGTGCCGCATCATTAAGGATGATAAGTCGTCAGAGAACACTATATTTTTGTGCGGAGTTGTACCCATGGAACGATCAGCACGTTTCCCTATGATCTATTGACAGATGGTCAGTGACTTCAGATCGTGTTGTGGGAAAGTAGCGTGTGGTCCTTCTCGCTTCAGATTTAATAATGGCATTGTTCCTCATTAATCGTTGCTCGCATCAGGTGGGGGAGTTTCGGCAGGAAATTGTGGAGTTATCTGGAGTTCGATTATGTCCAATGTGTGTTTGCTTGTGCATTAGGATCGAGAGATTTAGGCGCTGCGATAGTATTGTTTGGATTATGTCTTTACATTTCATCATTTACATGATAAGGAGAGTTATGTATTTCAGATAGACTGAATGAGTGATTTCAGTTCACTGACAGACAGTTCAATACGGCAGTAAAATACACGAGCAAGGATATTTTGCTCAGGTGGTGAAATGTGGTTTAACGTCGTGTCCAAGATTGTTGCACTTATATAGCGACGTGCATGCACATGTGTGTGTGTGTGTGTGTGTGTGTGTGTGTGTGTGTGTGTGTGTGTGTGTGTGTGTGTGTGTGTGTCTGCTTGTACTAGTCTGGACTGATGCCGATTGTATTGTGATAGTCCACTGAGATACCATGCCGCAGTTTAACAGTCATGAATGCCCCACTCGGACACAGTGTACTGACTCCGAGCCGAACAGTCCTTGTTTTAGCCCCTTAATGCCGAGCGCCAGGCAGGGTAACAACAAGTATCATATTTTAACGTCTTTTGGTATAACGCTGCCGGTGAACGAACCTGCTCCAATACTAAACCACGGAGGCGGTCCACCCCACGTTGAGTTATGAGAGACGATAAAAAGACATATACAATCATACTAAAATATATTACATAAAATATTCGATCTTTTGGCGATAATAACAGGGTAGGTCTTGGCAGATGGTAAACATACTCCTGGGATGGAGAGTACAAAACTGCTTATATTGTCAGTGTGGTGACGTGCAATCACACAATCCTCTGTAATAACATGCCACATGGACAATGCTAGTAGCCAGACATGTCACTGCAACGCGCTTCAAGAAGGCAAACAAACAAGCTACACTAAGATTTGTTTTGTTTTAGTGAAACTCGAATAACATTAACATCATTAGAAAGTTTATCTCCTCCGTATGTATAGCGTCTGACAATTTACAACCTGATGTCATAGAGCTAAGTAAATGTCTTATTAAGGCTAGCTCTAACCATATCCCCCAACGTGTAAATGGATCACATTAGAAGCCCTATTGTAAAAATTGATAGGTTAAATGATCCTATGAAATAAGGGTGGCCAGAAGAGAATGGATAGCGGACAATAGACCACATTTTCACAACCTAAAAGAATCTAATCTCCAGGGCCTGATGGTATCACAAATGAGCACCTAATATTGGGAGAAGAGGCGCTTGTGGTTACACTCAGTACTATCCATGTGCCTTCAGACAAGGTACCATCATACCTATTTAAGGCAAAAACGACAAACACGATCCACGTAATTACAGGGCAAACTCTTACATCGCGTCCATATAAATCTTAGAGAAAATCATTTTAAGTAGAAGAGAAAAATAGTCACTCAGTAACTCCAATCCTCCGACTTTTTACAATTTGGTTTCAGAAAGGAACACTGAGCAATCATGTCTCTATTCACCGTCTACGCAATTTCTACCTAGAAAGAGAATCGCAAGTGTTTGCTGCCTTTTTAGATAATGAAAGCTTAATGTTTTCGATCGTATTTGACACGACGGTCTATTCGTCAAATTCCATGAACTTGGTGTCACAAGCAAATATTGGAACCTACTTTTCCATAGCTGTAGGGACAGCTTGGCTTTTATATCATACAACGGAGAAAGATCTGATGAGTTTCCCATAAAACAAGGTGTTTGGCAAGGTCGAGTTATATCAGCATGGTTCTTTCTCGTTTTCATAAATGATCTTATATGTGAATTAAGGGGAGCAAACAATCGCCTCTCTGTTCATGGAATCTATACACCCTGTGTTTTATTGTCCGTTGATACAACAGGCGGCTTACAGTCACAAAGTACCTATGTTGTGCTCTCATTAATCACAGAGCTTTGATGTCTCTTATCAGTCCCTTAACTCCTTAAATATCATGAGATGGATAACAGTCATGTCTATTATCGACATCACAATATGATAAATATGTACATGATTGTCACAGATACCTTTGCCGTTGAGAAACATGCTCCTGCTTTAAAGAAGCATTTAGTCATCGATTTACTAAGCTTGGAGGCAAGAAAGACCAGCTATAGCGAGTAAATTGTGACATGCTGTCTTGTGATGTCCATACTGTTGAGCCCATGCTAAACACTACCAGTTTCCTCGGGCGAACATAACGTGCGGAGCAGAAAATAAAGTTGCATGTCTTTCTGTAATTGGCATGTGTTCAGTGGAAAGCATTTAGTTCTTCTGGTTTGAATTGCTAAGTGACAGGAAGTCCTTTTCATTGTTTTGCAGCACAGTTGATATCATCTTCAGATCAGTTTAGAGAGGAGAGAGACATTATTTCCTCAAGTATGCATGTATGAACGCCATACGGCCATAATGCATATCTTTTTTCGAGACATATGAGCTACAAGAGTCATTAAGACCGAGTACAGTGTCAAATGTCACGACAGTTGACATGAGAAAGTATTTTTTACATCTGATTATGTCATTTGGGGACACCATAAACAGGATTGACATTTTGTACATTGAAAATAAACGACAAACCAAACTTCCATAATCATTGGTATCTCTATTGAAAGTCAATTGTACCATTCCGACAACATCGTAAGCATGTGTTGATGAATTACTTACAATAGTAATGATAACAGGTACTCGCAAAAAGGTGAGCGTTTCCTTCACCATCGGTGGCACCTGTCCCACATGCAAGATCTAATTTAAGCTAATTGATTGTTAATAAGTATTTCATTTGAGTGTAGCCTTGAGGAAATTCATCATGGACAATTAAATAGAGATAATGATCCGTGTGTGTTAACAATTTCAACTCTACAGCGACCACTGTCATTGGGTGATACATCACATAATCATATTTTAATATTATTTTTAAATCCAAACATATTTACACATTAAATACTGGAATGTCATACTATTGAATATGTTGATATTGCTTAGACAACTACAGCAGCATGCGAGAATCATCAAATTATAGAAAGGGACAATGTAATTACAAGGGCGGTGGTTAAAGCGTTCGCTCGTCACGCCGAAGACCCGGGTTCGATTCCCGATATGGTTACAATTTGTGAAGCCCATTTCTAGTGTTCCCCGCCGTGATATTGCTGGAATATTGCTAAAAGCGGCTTAAAACCATACTCACTCACTCACTCACTCACTCACTCACTCAATGTAAGTACATTTTGTAAGACAAACTTGAATTGGGTTTAACGCCACATTGAGCTGTATTCCAGTTACATCACGGCGTGTCAGTTTTATGTGGGGAAATAGCCCGAAGTGATGCAGGTCTTAGACCACCTCGGTGAAACCCACGTGCACGGCTATGCTGATAAACATACAAACATAATCGTGGCGAACCGGGACTCGACGCGACGATCATAGGATTCTGGCGTGCCCAGGAACGCAACTCTGCACAGCGAATTGCGGTGCCTTAGACGACTGGGCCACAAACGTGAGGTATTTTGGATCTAAGCTGAATACAATGGTCTATAAAACATATTTAATTTATGTATTATACTATTCCTCATTTGTAATCACAAATTTCTGTTTGTTTCAGCAAAATGGATCCCAACTTTTGTAATGGCAGTGTTTGCTACAATCAATCAGGTAAACCTGTTTAAATGTATTTAATCTCAAACACAATTGACGCAGCAAAGTCTTCCCGTAATTGAGCCCGGCTTTCTTCATATTCTGTGGGGCCGCCTGGAGAGCGTAAAATCCGAGGTTCGATCCCCGGCCGCGTCAAACCATAAGACGTTAAAAGATGCTACTTGTTGTTACCCTGTCTGCCACCCGGCATTAAGGGGCTAAAACAAGTCAGTATACTGTGCCTGAGTGGGGTATTCATATTACACTGCGGCGTGGTATTTCAGTGGTCTAGTGCTATCATATCGGCATCAGTCCGGACTAGTACAAGCAGCCACACACACACTCGTGCAAGAACGTCGCCATATAAAGCGTCATAACCTTGGACGTTAAGGGCCAGTTCACCTCACACCGGGAAAGAGGCTCCAATATTTAATCTAACAAATGAGTCATGGATATAAAGCCCCATGGGAAGTTAGAACAGATACTATCAATATAACTTTACATAGGTAACTAGACATTCATTTCATAAGCAGACAAGGGCATAGTTTGGGACTTGTGTGCGAGTAAGAATGGTTTTAAGTCACCTCTGGCAATATTCCAGCAATACCGGGGGAACCAAGGCATTAATTAACCACAAGACCATCCCCCATCCGACATACTCTATCTGGCATCTGATCTGATCTGATCAATCACTGCCACAGCCTCACCAATTAAAATGAACTTCATCACGTCTATGAGAGCGAGCGTCAAGTTAGACGTTAGATTTGAACAATCAATGCCACATGTGGTAAAACTGATGAACAAGGTCAGATTAAAGATTGAACACAACTTCTGCCAAAGGCTAAATTTATTTATGGTTTCTTCTTACTGTCTTAAAACCTGTCTGATGACTGAACAAAACTTGTGCATTGAAACCATGTTGTTATTTGTTTTCAGCGCCAATGATGAACATGAAACCGGACGATTGGGGATTCATTTTCAAGGTCATTTTCACGCCAATTATCGCCTTGGTAGGAATTGTTGGAAACTGTCTCTCATTCATGGTCATGAAAACAAGGATGTTGCGTGAAAAATCCTACAGTCATTACCTTTGCGCACTAGCAGTGTTCGACAGTTTGTCCCTAGTAGCAGTGCAAGTGAAAACAGCTGATGAACTGCTCTACTACCTTCACAAGCCAAGTCTGTTCACCTACTTCACCGACGCAGGATGTAAACTATATGTATTCACTGAATGTATGTGTTATTTGATGTCGTCTTGGCTTATTGTGTGTATGGCCCAGGAAAGGCTAATTGTTGTGTTCATGCCCTTCAAGAAGCATGTGTTGTGCACACAACGTGGCGCCGTGGTAATCATACTAGCTATCTTCGTTGTTATGTCCTATACCCAGATGTTCCGACTCATCATGGTTACCAAGATAGGGGACAAATGTGAAGGCCGGCCGGAACTATCCGCTATTTATACGTCTCTCCATGTGTATTTCTATCAGTTTGCGTTGTGCTTCATCCTTCCTATCCTTATCGTGTCCATCTGCAACATATCTGTCCTGTGTAAGATCCGGAGCGTCAGTCGAGCAATGGCGGATGAGAACTCGTCGTCCACGAGATTAACACGAGGAGCAGCGAGACGTCACAAGACCACTATGATGCTACTAACAATCTGCTTCATGTACATCATAACCCTTTTGCCTGTAATCACCGTCACTATGATAGTGTTCGTCTACCTGAATTGTTACCCGTTACATGCCCCTTACGTTTTCATCACCATTACACCTTGGACACATGTTGCCACTGTCGTCTCACAAATTAATTACGCGGCAAACTTTTTCATATACGTTGTGTCAGGCAAGAACTTCCGTGTTGAACTCAGAAGAATATTTTCGAGAGAAAGAGGAAGTAACCTAAACAGTTCCAAGACACGGGAAGAGATAATGCTCCTCTGATGTCCTACTCACCATGCCATATCCGGGGTTTGCAGAGGCCAGGGAAAATATCACTTTATGATGCATGATTATTTTCAATATGACGGGAACAACGGATAACGAGTAGTGTATTTGTCTGTCATTAATCATCCTAAATGTTACACATTATCTCGTTTAGAGTGGAGCTTCTGGTAATGGCTTATTCACATGTGGACGGTTTACATTAAGCCAAATCACCATAGCTCGAGTATCGTTTTCAATGGGTACGTTGTAACATTATGTTTTTCTTAAACTTTTTCTTGATACTTTTATACCAATGCTAATAATGGTTACAAAGCCATATTCCGGATGAATTACGATATCTTCACAACTGACAGAAGCACATAGTAAAAAGACACCTGGATTTTGAACCTGACTTGCAAATTGCAATGGATCTTTGTTAAAGTAAATTTGACATTAATAGAAACAACCATCTTTAGCAGCATTAAACAGACAAATTACAAGACGTAACTGGATTGACATCGTTTTCAATTTCTGGCCCTTCATTGTACTTGGAAAATGACTTTTTATGATAGATGATAATCATCATTATTGGCACATATATAAGCTATTTGTGTGATACGTTATACCTGTATCTTCATCTGCAATACATGTATTTATGTCCAATACTAGATGTGATTGTGTAAACTGTTTTGTCATTTGAATCGAATGTTATTTATGTCTGATATTCACGTTGTTTATCTATTATATATGAAATTGTAGCTTACTGTGATTACTTTTGATCTAGGCAGTTAGATGAATGTGTGTTTCATAAATCATAAAACGTTGATCGTGCCTAATGATATTGCTCAATCCTTCCTATATGTCGTACATACTCGTATATGACTTGTGTCATTGTGAATATGTCGTTAAGTGCGAATCTACCTGGTGCCCCGGTTTTGATGACATTGTTTCAATAAGCATTTTCCATGACAGTTTCGAGAGTTTACTGTTACTTTTAAGGAGATGTGTCATGCACCAGCATAGTTGTAATGCTACATCAACACTGCCAATAACAAGCAAACATTAAGGCATCTTCAGCCCCGAGATGCTGGTTATCCAAAGATGAATTCAAAATGGGCGGACGACATTATTATAATATCATGTATATTTTTCTCTTCGGCGCATTGTAATTCGAACTAAAAGCATTCCATATTTTTTCACATTTCTGAAACTGTTCACCAGGTGTAAATAGGTGTGAAATGTACGTGTTATGGCTTTGAAAGAAACACGTGTGTTGAATGTAGCAGTAGTGCTTAAAATACATACATTAACATATTGGTATTTTTGACGCTTGCATAGGTTGTGCTTGTTGGACATATTTGTGATAGTGTAACAGTGAAGTGTTTTGGCACGTAGCATCTATTAATGTTATTGAATTATGACAGCTATACACATGATGTATCTCTCTAACCCAACCGATAATGTGTTTGATGGGTACGTTTCTTAAAATGAAAAAGGATGTAATTAGTCGCACAATGTATTTTAGGGGTCTTTCTATCCACCAACATGTTGTGTCTTTTATTTGAAAGTGAAATATTTTCTTTCTATAATGAGGGTAATTATTTACTGATATATTCATATTCATAAAAAAAACCTTCGGTTTATAGAGTACTCGATTCAACTAGCCAGCGCTGTTTATTTTTCCAGCCTATGAACACCGTTATTGTCCGGTGAGAAACTAAAGGATGCACACGTTGGATTTAATTAACTTGCAGCTAAACTGAAGCTCTTTTGGTACAATTAGCCCCTTCTTAAGTATATTTAGAACGTCATGACAACGCCATATTTACAGTAACGTTTGTAAAATAATTTCTTACTTTTAGGAAAGGAACCTAGGGGATGTTACTTACATACAGGTGTGATTAAGAGGGATTTTGTTATGTTTTGCAAATATTTTTATATGTGAAAGCATTGATAATGAAATCGACAATAATTTTGTATTGTTGTGTTAATGGGTAAATGGGGTTTTACGACTCCGGAACAACAGGATTGGGATTAACACGTTGAACCTCAGTGGGGATCTGAACTTTGTCCGTACGAGAGAACATTCTGACCACGAATCCCCATCGTCACTATCCAATGTTTGATATACAGCATCAGTTGCATGTTGGTCAGTGTACATGTCAGCATATGTGATATACAATGGTGTCTTGTTCATTCTTTCTATCATAGTTTTGAATCACGTTATCATGACATGTACATGTATTCGTCCATATTGTTTGTCTTTTCACAATAAATTCACAGTAGGTTAAATAAGGCCGAAACAGTGTTTCCTTTATCATTGATCTCATTGGACAAACTGACCTGTCCCTTTCCCCAGCGTACAACGGGTATAATATTAAATGTGTGCATTCTTCCTATACTGGCAGAAGGGGGAAAAACAGGGAGATTTGCTCAACACACAGAGGGGAGAATCAAAATATCTGTTTGGCATCAATATGATTTTGTTGTACGATGCGTATTGTTTTGCATATCAAGATCAACATTGATATATGCTAACATTTTCATGGCAACTAAATGGGGCTTTTACTCGCCATGGTAGCGGTGGACAGATTGCACAGTGGTCGCAGTTACTATAAAGAAGCCATCGAGCTACAGTCACACAAAGGCTCGAAGACCAAGTAAAACATGGCTTAAATACGTCACAGTTATATTCTCTTTCGCTACACGACCCCACTGATTTTCAACCTTTGCGACAAGTTGATTAACATATCTAGCAAAACATGAACAGAAAACGTCGTGACGCTAATATTAACACAGTAATGTAAGCCTGGTTTGGGAATAAGCAGTGAAAGATTCAGTGGTCGTCGGTTACCTTTATGCTGACTCACATTGGTATACATGTAACCGACAGATATGGTTTTACGTAACTCATTCACAGGTTGAATGGTAAATCATTCACATTCGTTGAGTACTGTTCGTAATATCCCGTTCACCCCTTACAAACGGTGTGCTGTCTAACTGAAATCCACTGTACCGAAAGGAAAGAGTGAGTGAGATGGTTTAATGCCGCTTTGAACGGTATTTCAGTTATATCACGGCGTGTCTGCTTGGTTTTGGAGGAAAGCCCGAAGTGATGAGTGTGTTAGATGTTTACCACTTTGGTGAAACAGGAAAACGAGTATGATGCCGACAACTCTGGAAACGTATCGAAAAATCGAACCCAAAATGCCATGTTTCGGGGATGCCCAAGGGACGCAACTCAAGACAGCAAATTGCTTCTACTCAGAAGACTGGGCGACCCATGCCCTCCAAGAAGGAAGGATAACAGAAATGCTAACTGCAAATCATGGAGTCTATCTACATGTATGTTTATGTATGGCCTACTCGCAGGCTATCGAGACAGTGACAGCGGGATGTCGAGATTTAGTTTGCAAAATATATATTTTAGACACTGTAACAGCATCAGTTTGTATGTCATGGCGCACCGTGGATATTCTAAGGGATACACAAATATGATAAGAAAGACATATCACATAATACCTGATAACTCATTACTGAGTTCTGTTTCCGTTTAGAACAGATTGGCTACTGACTACGGAGCAATCTTGTTTAGTGATGGGCTTATCGTCTGGATAAAGATCTTGTGATTTTTCCGAAAAGGAATCCATCCAAGTAAAAAAAAATGATCATAAATCAAAATGATAATAAAATGACATTCGCAAGACGATGGATGGCATGCCTATTGCAAAATGGGTTAAACCGTTTTGACCGTTAAGATGGATTAAAACTTAAAGATCGACGGAATGTTTTATCATGAACAAAAACGTCCCAGCACCTGTGCTCCACACATCAACATATTTCCCTCGAGATGAACACAGATACAGTCAACGTACATAAAGTACCCCGAGCGCATGCCAGGACCTCTGTCTAATTCCGTTGTAATTGGTTGGTACGTTCAGAAAGAACTCTCCGTTTTCGTGGCTGCAGTAAGCGTACATAAAGTAACACGTGTATACACCAGTATCTGTCGCAGTTTGTGTGTGCGATCAAATAGGGCAATAAAAGAAACGGTTTCAACAATCCAATAGTCAGGGGGCGCGGTGACCCAGTCGTCTAAGGCGCTGTAATTAGCTGTGCAAAGTTGCATTCCTTGGGCACGCCAGAAAGCTTTGACAGTGGGTTGGAATCCCGGTTCGCACCGATTATGTTTCTAGGTTTGTCAGCATCATACCCGTACTCGTGGTAAACATATAAGGTTTGCATCACTTTGGACTTTGCTCCCACATGAAGTTGACACGCCGTGATGTAACTCGAATACTGTTCAGAGTCGCGTAAACCCAGCTCAATCACTCACTCCAATGACCATTTTCTCCCCTCATACCAATCACATTATGACCATGTACATGTGTGTGTTTTCACATGCTGGCAGAAACATTTTATGGCGATCATATATGATTTTTAAATACTGGTATGTTGTAACAGTCGGATAATCTAAATGTGCCTTCCACACTGGAACGAATTGTCTTTGTTGATGAGAAGTTCACGTTCAAAATATTTCAGTAGTATTTCTGAAAATTTCATTCATTTATCCGAGTAGAATGTTCCTCATCGTGTAGGGGAACTTTTTACTCTTCGGTGGCAATTTCCAATGCCCATCATATCCACCTATTGTTCTTTACGAATTTAGAAATCTATTTTAGCGTATCCAGTTGAAAGGCATTGTGTTTTTGCGATTTCATTAAATTGTTGTCAACCCAACTTACTTCAGAGAAAGCTGTCTCCAGGTCTTGAGTGGTACTATACCGATTTTCAAGGATCTAGAGTGAAGTGATCACGCTGTACCACATCCCAAAACCCGGCACAAACAGCTGGTGTCATCATTGTATTTGTAAAATGAGTATAGCTTTTATGAATGTTTCGTTCCATGTCATAATTATCTCGGGGATATTTCCGGTTTCATTTCACATAGTTACTGTAAAATTAAGACTTTTCTTTTTAAAAAAAGTCTCTTCTTCCCCTGAGCAAAAGCGTGGGGACATTTAATTTGCTTGCGCAAGCCCATTTAAAACTCTGATGCGACATTTTCGCTTTTTGGTCACATTAGAGACGATGTGTCTTGTGACTATCATTGTTTATGCATGATATGGAGGTGGGGTCCATGATCACTTTGTGAAAGGCGTGGATTTGCGAATATGAGCGACGACTGTTGTTATAATAATAATAAATATGCTTCCTGTACCGCTGTATTGATTCACATGGTGATATGTTTGTCTCGACACTGGCCTCGATGTCAACTTTGTCCCTATGGCTAAAGGCATGTAACGCAATGGGTTGTAAATACGTTCTAATAAACCGATATATAGACCAATGTGTTTCATCTTATATCAGCACGGGAAGCGTTTGCGAATGAATGTGGTAAGGGTATTGCCAAGAAAATGATGTAGATAGATATTATATTCCATTACGACACCCGTGTCCATGGGTTTAAGCAAAGTGGCACTCTACCACCTGCGTCACTTTAGGCTTTCTTTTCAGATTAAAAACTGACCGCCGTCATAGGACGGAAGTAGTGATAAACGCAGCGTTAAATCCATAACCACTCACGCAATATTACATTACAACCTTGGACATGGTTGACAGATGCAGTCGCGATAATCAAGGATCAGTATCATAATGGCATAGACAAGAGATCGGCTGATGAGGTCGTATAGGCACCTGAGTAGCATCGGTGCTGTCATAAAGAAATTATCTGATGGACTGTGACATTAAATCAGGGAGTACTTGCCTAATAATAGTCAAATAACGATAAATATATGACTTTAATGAGACAGATGTACAACGTTTCTGGACTAAGAGAAATTGAATTTATTGGTTGGTTAATTTCGCTTTTCATCACTCCGACAATTTAGTATATTATATGAAGTGGTGTACAGATTTAAAGTGATAAATTACCTTCGACATATATGCAGTCAGCCTATACGATTTGTCATAATTCTAACACACTCATCATGGGAGATTCGGATATCAAACGCATGCGGTGAGGTGAAATGGGGTTTAACGTCGCGTCCAAGATTATTGCACTGATATAGAGACGTGCATGCACCTGTGTGTGTGAGTGTTTGTGTGGCTGCTTGTACTAGTCCGGTCTGATGCCGATGTGATAGTACTAGACCACTGAGATGCCATGCCGCAGTTTAACATGAATACCGCACAGTATACTTACCCCGAGCCGACCAGTTCTTCTTTTAGACCCTTAATCCAAAAACGCCAGACAGGGCAACAACAAGTACCATCTTTTAAGGTGTTTTGGTACGACGTGGCCGGAGATCGAACCCCCGACCTTCCGGCCTCCCACTTGACCACGGAGGCGGTCTCATAAGCATTACAGATTACTTTTAACGATTATAAGGCTGTCTCCTGGCAAGAGTACTAATAAGTGAGTACCGCATGCTTCCAGACACCAGTGTGTGTATTGGGGTTCTTTCTGCCGTCTTGCCAGTCCACCAGCAGATAGATAATATCGTCAGTATCAAGGCATGTTTAGATATGCATGTTTAGATCTATATGTAGATATTTAGGAGTCAGATATTTAGATATCATATTTAGATCTATGCATAACGATTCAGAGTCTCCACAAGACTGTATGACAAGTGGGAAGACTTCAACTTTTCGATAGACAACTTTCCCTTCATGTCGAGTAATATTCCAGCAGCTCCAGCCTTGGGTTTTTACATTTCCCAACTTCTGAGATACAATTGATTATGTTCTTTCTCCCATGATTTCAAAGAGCATCATACGGCTCTTGTTCAGAAGATGTTTGATCAAGGTTACAATATTTAAGGCTTCAATAAAGCTTTCAATTTTTTTATGGCAGATAAATGGAAGACATTTCCAAATTTGACGCGTCAGTGACAAAAAATATGTCCGATGCAATTCCCTATGTTGACTTGTACCACATGTTCCCGTGTTTCAGTTGAACAATTGCCTTGACTTTGCATGTGTTTGTATCGTGTGCCACCGGTGGGGCAGGATACGCTCTCCATTGTACGAACACCTGGTATCATCACTATTTGATAGTGATTCAAGAATACATGCTAATGTTATAGTCGGAATCGTACAATCGACTCTGCTTTGGGAGAGATTTCTGTTGAATATGGAAAGGATTTTGTCACTTTTGTTTCTTTGAAATACAATGACAGGACTCTACAAAATAATGTTTCAGTCTTGTTTTGTTCAATCTCATTGACATTGCGATACATTCATATTGTTAGCATATGGGTAATTCAAAGCGTCCATTTAAAGTTACAATGATGCATTTGCATATTCTATGCTTAGGGGATCTGTGTATATGTCTTCGATAATACAACAAATTGTACAGATGGAAGTCGTATTCTTTTTTTCGGCAACGGCATCAGGTGTCACACGTCAAGTGTTACATTTAGACTACGACTAACATCAGAAAAAGGCAATCTTCAAGTCACATTGGCCACGAACGTTCCTGTAGTTCACATGATTTACGTTGACCAGTGATAGCAGAACACAATGTTCTAATGAGTCTTGTAAGAAAGCAAGACGGCAATATTCCAATTTGTCGGTACCTATTAATGTGGCAATGGATTGGTTTCAACACACATGGTGCCACAGTTGTAGTAACATAGGGATGTATGTTTTTCACGGTCTCTAACAACACCTCATTTACATCAAATAATCGGACTATAATTTGAAAACCTGAAACGCAAATATCTTTTGAACTCACAACAGCAGGCACTCCAATCACCATGAGCTTGCCTGGTCTCTTCTATGAGGTGAGGGATAACACGAATATATCCAATTACACTGGTATCTTTTATACAACAGGGAAGGAGGCGGCTTATAATTCTATTACTAGCATTCCCAAAGATGCACTTACATCCGTTCGTAAACATTTACCTTCTTACGCACACGTGAAATTGGCTTAACTCCTTATTTGGAGCAGGAGATATTGAACTAGCTCTCTTCAGATTTTATTAGATCGACAAGATTTTGTTAACAAGAAGACGTGAAGACGTTGTCCCTTTTACAGCAATTAGAAGGTCCATTTGAAGTCCTGTAAGATAAAATATGTTTCCAAGACATACACGAACTGGAGATTTCAAAGTGTTTAAATCTTTGAATATTTCTTAAAAATGGGCAGGTAGTAGAGATCTCATGAGTGTAATTCATGCACTTAAATGTGAGTATGCTTGAGAACGTACGTAAATATAAAAGGTTAACGCTACAGAATAACCAGACTCAACTATCTGCCGAAACCGATTCCGTGAGAAGATTTAAAACGGTAATGAGCATCGATCGTTGAAAACATGGTTTTGTGAAATAGAAATGTGTTTTCAGACAAGAAGTTCACAGTATATCTTGCCAATCACTTACTTCCTTGTTTACTTATAAACACTTTATAAAACCTGCCATAAAATAGGGGGTACATGTCAACCAAAGTAGTATGTATACTATTCGAAATATTCTAAAACTCATTATTCAATGTTCATAGCAAATGGATATAGCGACATTGTACAATGTCTTTAGTAGGTAATGCAGGCGAGTTGATTCTACTTCCGGAAGCAACAAAATCGAGTGATTTCTCTAAAAGTTATGATTGAAACATAAGGTCTATAATTTGCATAGTGACCAATAGTTGCGTCTGATTTACATTGTATTTGTATCAAATGCACGTTGAGAATGGCAAGGGAATTCCTGGCTCAGCATCATCTGCAAGAACAATAGCATGCCAACATCACGATGGTATTAATCTTTAAGAATTAACAAATATAGAATACTTACCTAAATTCAAACGTGTGACCTACTTTTTTGTTGTGATGAAGTATAAATCTCGAAGATGTCTCGTGATTGGTTAAAAATGAAAATAACATTCCAGCATCACCCTACATATGTGACCTTAGCAAGGTCACAGCTATTCAACATTTTCCTTTTATTCACAGGAAGTATTCCGAGACAGGTGGAATAAATATCATGTGAATGCGCAAAACTCCAAGGATTTGCTTGATGTTTTCAATCTACGAATAGAACCAAGTTCAATTGTATGACAACATTTGATTTTACAACTGTGTACACCATTATCCCCAAGGACACAAAACCTTCCTTGATCCGTGGGACATTTGTCACTAAACATGGTCAC